GAAGTAATTGACAAGGTCCAACGTCAGGTGGAATCTCAATGAAATTGATTATCCTTGGATTTGGGAGTGGCTCGTATTTGATGGAAATGGGATCTTGTTTACGGATTTGAGCAAATCTTTTGCTTGTTAAATTTTGAAGTTTCGCAGATTTTTGTTTTATTCTAGCCATTACAATAATTAGTACATACATTGCGGATGGAGACCGTGACGCAGCCGCACGCGGGAACGCCCTTCAGGGTTTATTCCAACTTCTGGAGGCGTTTTTCATAAGACGGAAAATAGTAGTGAACTCACGTGATTAGCAAAGATTAGAGTGTCACCAGGCGCCCCGTCGACGATATAGAAGAAACAGTTGAACAGGTAGAAAAGACCCGAAAGCACGAATGAAGTGAGCAGATGGCGATGAACGATGAACATCGGCTGATGTCGTAAAGGCCTGTAAAAGCATATTATAAAAAGAACATAAAGGATAAGGATAAAGCATTTGCCGTTGATCAATCCCTTTTGGGATGCGGCACGCATTCTACTTCCATTTGTACATTCGTAGTGGCGTTTGAATGCGATGTGGCCTATACAATGACTTGCGGGGGCCAGCCGATGTTCAAGTCAGTGTTTTTATCCTCCCAGACAAGTCTGGTACCAATTAACCGACCCCGGAGGGATGGAAGGCGCGGACGACGCACGGCCTAGGATTCGACCCCTGGCAAGTGGCGCTATTTATCACACACTACACCACTTTCTTCCAGAATGAACGTGGGGGGAGGTAAGTATTCGTGGCCATATGACCTAAATAGGCTGTATCTTCAGAGCGAAGATGTACACTCACATTAACTGGTTTACCTTCTTTTGTTCCCTCCCGCAATATTTCAGCTTACTTTCAGGAATTTGCTACTGTAACAAATATAGGTATTTAGTCATTCTGTTAAATTAGGAAACCATGGTAACAATAGCGCAATTTGGTCTAACAAGGTTAACTTCTATTATATGTTAAATGGAATATAAAAAACTAAGTGATTGTATCCGTCTGCAATCTCGTTGGCTTGCAATAGTTCTAAAATAGATTTACCGACCACAAGACCAGGTAAGAGAACCATTCATACCAACAACAAAGGCTGACAGCCTTCGATGACTTGAGAACATACTGGGAGCAATTTTTTTGCTAAAAGGCTTCTCAAAAAAGTTCTGCCCTACAAGCCAGCTTATAAGGGCGATTCCACGGAATGCTGTAGACCATGAATCATTATGCTTATACCTAATTATGGTCGCTATTGAAAGCCTAAAGAATCTCTCGAGTGAAAATTCAGTTTGAATTTAATAACTTCTCGAGTGAAAATTCAGATTTAATAGAATGTTTCATCCTTAATTTTTAATGTAATATCGGGAAAATTGGAAAATCAATCAGACAAACTGATGGTAATTCTAACCAGAGCATCCATTCTTGGCTACACGGAAAGCATATAATTCTTAGGACATTGAAGTGTATCTTATCCTCACACCTGGCTAGTCCGTTGTTTTTTGTTGGGTAGCTTGGCTAAAGCTGACCCTGGTATAAAGAGAGGATAGTCCATGCCAAGCGCGATTACTGTAACGAGCGAGTTGATAGCTGAAACTGGACCAGTCGATTTCTTTTCGTCGCTTTCTTAATCTTGGCTGAGTCTTATGAGCCAAATAGTAGTGCGCAGTTAAAGAAACAGGCGGATAAACCATACAAGGGTCGAGCGATGGGGACCAAAACTCAGTTAAAATTAGGATTTCTTCTATGAATATTCTATAAAATAGCTCAAGATGCAACTCGCCCCACTCGGCTTACAAAGCGTCATTGATTGCAGTCGAGCCATCATTCCGAAGCACACTGCCCAAGTTTTTGGTGCTTACTTGGGCATAGTTTACTTACATTCTTATTTCTCGACCACCATTCGTCCCAGTCATGCCAAAAACGCAGATCGCACATCATCAAAGCCCCACTGATTCGGTCTCTTCTGCGCCGAAGTTGGCCGTATAACTTACCGAAGAGGGTCCTCCCAAGGTGGGCCCCTCTCTGAGCCTTTTTTTGAATGGTGGGCAGAGATAGTCTTTATTAATTTAAAAAACTAAATTAGCCAGAGCTAACACGCAACCTAGATCACCTAAGGAAACCATTGATCAATAGATATTATTTTCCCAGCATGATATCATTCTAGGTCATACGGAAGTGCTAACTTAAGTTGTAATATAACTGTTATAAGGACGAATTTACGATGGAAAAGCAACCCATTTCAAATTGAGGTAGAGATGGTGAGTAGTACCAGAAAGAAAGCGAAACCACGAAAAACGGCCCAGAACCGGAGAAATGGGACCCCTTCCTTGTCCGTTGATTTGAGCATTGATGGGACTCTCATCGCTTTGCCCTCTTCAACCCTACGCTCTCTCAGCTATCTAATCACTCGCCACCTATTGTACTACGGCGAGTGATCAGACGATCGGTGGGCGGAGATCGCCGAACTCGCCAACTTTGAGCCATGCTAGATCTCAGAGGTCAAATCTTTCGATGCCGATTGCGTGTCTGTCCGCACCCTCAAGAGATTCACCGCTCTCCCCACTAGGCGATTTCTCCCTTCTTCGACCTTCGTTCTTTCCGTGCAATCCTCCTCCTTTAATGAAATCTAGAAGCAACTAAGATAAAATGTACTCACCGAAAAAACCACAAAATAAAGACAGCAGGTATAAGACAGATCACACTAATCGAAAAGGCGATGATACCAGCCAGCAGTTTTATTTGCGCTTCCTGAAATACATCATCATAGCAGTAAAATTCCAATATATGAAGTATTTTATTCGCATTAAAAAACAATAATTGGGCACGTTTCAATATTTAGCTTTCTTATGATCTACAGTTCATAATAGTGAATCATTGAAAGCGTAACACGAAAAGTTCTGGGTACGCACGCACTCCGCTACACTTCAGAACTCATAAATGGCGATTTGCAGTGCTATCTTGCCGCATACAATGAACTTTCGTTTGGGACCGTATTGGGGGGGAACGTTGTCGTTGTTTGTTTTTGAACTGGGTGAAATTTGTTTCAGAATAGGATCAAAACAGAGCATGTGTTATTCGAAACTATACAGCGCCCGCCAAGGCCTCGACGAAAGATGTCAAAGCTTCACTACTGAAGAATTCATTATTCACCACTCGGCTTTCGGAACTCTAATTTCGGTAAGTTTTCCATCTAGGAACATTTTCGGAGGGAGGATAACTTTTTACAGTTTTGGCTTCCATCTAGAAATATGCGAAACGAAAAATCGAACTACAGTTTTGTTCTTCTCCTTTCAATAATTTCTGAGTTCCGTTTTTATCCCAATTTAACTGCTTTTTCCCTTCTTCCTCGAATGAAAGCATGCCCTTCTGGAGTCTCATTTCCATTAATACCAGACGAGGAGTATCGGCGATCGAGCCTTTGAGCGGGTTCCAGGCCCAGTAGAAGATTTATACAATTGGTTACTACCTACAGAATTAGATCACAAAGCGAACTTTTTCCAGATGCTCCTCCAGCGTTTCTGCAGCTCTCACTCAACCCCCTTTTCTCGTTTGGGAGCTACCATTACTAAAGAACTCTAGCAGTGCGAGTTTCATAATTATTCTGCAATTGCGGATGTATTTCTCAAAAGGCCGTCCCTCATCATCACACGTTCAGCGCTTGTCTTTGGTTTTACTCGTCAACTCGTGCCGATCACCCCGTAACCTCCGAAATAGCCGTTTGCCTCAGGCAGTAATTGACAACGTTGAGCAGCGCACACATCGAATTGGAATGTGTGAGACCGCCGCGGGTAATTGCAAACCACCGCTCAACCCCCGTCCGTCCACGTGTCGCCTTGACATGTTTCTGCAAAACTAAAAGCAGCTAGTTGAGTCGAGCGAAGATCGGCTATGAAGGCTGAAATCTGGCGCTCATTCCGTGTAAGTAGAGAAGTCTGGAAACAGCTGCACATTATTATGTTCCAGAGAACTATTGCGGTAAGCATCCATACAGGCGTAGTGAGCGAAGTGGGGGTGTCTCCCCATGGCTAAGATTGTGGTGCAACCTCAGGAACGTGTTTCAAACTCTCATTGAACTTTGAATTGAAACTTAGGCAATCGAAAGAGCCTTGATGATGGTTACAAATGTGAGAACGAAAACCGCTACGCAATTGCCATGAAAATTGTGATCGGCAAAATTGCAGCTACAGCTCACTCTTAGCCCTCGGGATTTAAAGACAGCGCGCACGATGGCTGAAGGGGGTGCAGTTTTATGACGCCGTTGGAGTCAATGGTGGAATTGTGTTAAGAGGCAGTTGCAGCCATATTCCCCCAGCGGAGTGAGGGGTATGGTCCAACTAATGGCGTTAATGACGTCATCAAAGCCGTATCACCCTCCAGCCATCGTTATCACTGCCTTTGCCCAAATGACCATGATTTGTCTGGGGAGCAGCCGAGACAATCAAATTCGACATTTACACTTTCGGATAATGATTCCTCCTCAAAGCAGAGCTGCAATACCAATGGTAAGAATCAGAACAGACTGAGGGCAACACATCCTACGAACGGCTAAAGGTCTTTGACAACAGGCTTCTATCGTGGCAACAAACGCTATCCGCAACGATTCATCATGTTTCTGCGTCTCTCTTGTCCCAATTCTATCTTCGTCGTCTTACCGTTGAGACACTTTCGTCTACAGGAGGTGGTGGTACATGATCCAGAAGTAGTGTTGTAGGAACGCTTCTTTTTTTAAGTATTCTTGAGTATTCCAATGATTTTTTTCTTCACAGTCAGATCACCCAGTACCTACCATTCAACCCTGAAAGCTTCATTTTCCCTTTGTGGAGCAGAATTTACACTCGCAACCTAAGTGCACTGACATGCAGCTTCCAACGAACCGTAATACGAAATGTGAGGCACTTAGTGTGGGTAGAGTTCCATATAGTTTGGGTCAATTAAGAAACCCTGGTTTTCAGGGTTCCGCGTGGGTAATAGCCAGCTTAGGTAACTCCTAAAAGGACTAGGTGCTACAACTGCGATGTGAAGCGACTCGTGGCTAGAAGCAGAAATTGCCACAACAAAATACGCTTCTTGATCAGATAGTGAGACTGGCAAAAAATTTAGCACGCCATTTTTGGACTTGGAGAAACATTATGCCATAGATTTGTTCCAGCTTGAAATATATGAAAAAAAACAAATTAAGAGTAATCAGAAGGTACCCCGAGAAAGCCGAAAAGACGGAATGTGCAAGTGTCTATTTCTCATAAATTTTCGAATGGAATAAAATAATTAATAAACAAATTAATAAAAATAATAAGTAATAAGTTCCCGTTTTTGTAAGGGAAACGATAGTGGATGACAAATTTAAAAGTAATTGCTCTAGATACTCTTACCTGCTGAACCATTGTACAACCCGAATAGTCGGTCCATTCGCTGGTGGTGCCCGGTCGCCTTACCCAGGCCGTATCGCCGCACATTTTACGAGACTCTGTAAAATAATGTAGTAATTCAAAGGAAAACAATGACTTCAGGTTCCTGACCCCTCAAATATTCTCAGAATACGCCGCATATGCGGTTGTTAATTGTAGCCGCAAAGACGATTGCATGTCAATTCATCAAAGGAAGCCATGCAATAATGAGTACTTCCGGGCTCAGCGACGAAAACAGGGCTCAATAATTACTATATGGTAACATCATGTAGAGCAATTCACCTAAAAACATTGCGGTAATGCAACCCCAATGGGCGCTATCGCAAATACGGGGCAATGCGATGGCATGCAATGTGATAGCAATGCATCAAAACTGGGTAAAACATGCTCTTTTCGGCAAAAAAGGAAAATCCTTAGGCGAGGGATGAGGAACTCCAGGTCTCGTGGGCCATTCTTATTTTCTTGAAGTTCCTGCCCCCTTCTAGGCTTAGTCCTGAAGGACGTCCCCATATATTGCTATAGCGCCCACTTCAATGTACTTCCATGAAACAAATGTTTTGTACGGAGCGGAAATCGGAATGCGGAAATCGAAATGGGTATTGTTGGTGACAAAAATTCGCACACCTAACTGTAACGTATAGGTCAGGGTTTTGAGAAGCGAGATTTTGACATTCTGGCACTTGGTTTCAGAAATCCGAGTGTATCACCTAGCATGTTTGATCTCAGAGGATCGGAATGAACTTGGAACGGCCCATGAATGCATTGGCGCATTCCAGAGTAATCGGTCATGGTCGAATTTTTTAATATTTTTTCTTATCTCGAATACCCTTAATATCAGTAGACATTTATTCTTTCTTTCTATCCAGCTCGCTTGTGAATTGAATCATTTCCGCGAGGGAAATGAAACACAGGCATGGATGAAGTTCCTCAGTAACCTTCCAATTTTGCTCGAAAATTATCCCTCTATGTCAGACCCACTCCGAATGTCAATCCCGACCCCCTCGATATCATTATTGCTCCAAAACGCGCGCTCTTCAGCCAAGTCTACGGGCTGTGCTAGGTCTTGTGTTTCCCACGGAATATTCCGCCATGAAGACGTTTGAGCATGGAGGTGCGCGTATTCACTGAAGCAGACACTTTTGCTCAGTTAGCGTATACGTCGCGGGAATGTCAACAACAGAAGTGACGACGGGGGTGTTAAATTTCACAGAAGAAGTCCATAACTAATAAAGGCCACACTATCAACAAAGAATCGATGTTTCCAGGGGCGAGAAGCCTGAATAACAGGATTCACATAGGGAAACAAGGACTAAGCGTGCCAGACCGCGAACTTCATCAATAAAACAGCAGGATTGATAACATTATAGAACTGGATGCCGTGCGAGGGTATTGAGGAAACAGGGGGGCCACTGGAAAGTACCACAAAAGGAGATCCTCAACTGCTCAGATTTGTCCTTTCTCCAGTTTATGTATCCACTATCTGGCAATCATTGGGCGAGGGTAGCGCTGTGGTAGAGAGGCGCCAGCGCTAGATTTAGAAGGCACGAACCCGTCTGGAAGCACATTCAGAAACCTGCCAAATTTTTAAATTGGAGGTGAATCATTGGCGCACCGTCTAAAACGATGGAGTAATGCTCTCTAATGTTGAATTAATTCCTTTCCTTGTTCAGAACTTTTTTTGGATTGGGCGAAACGCCTGCTTAGGCAGTCACAGAAGGTCAGACGGAACTGGAGGAAAATCACGTCCCATGTTCAAGGGCACATCAAAAATAAAGCACTTCGCCTTTCTCAACCTCTCCCGAGGTGCACCGGGCAAGTCACTTCCATTGAGGATCGTAGCAGGAGGAGCTTGAGGAGCTTCCAAAGGATGGGAGGCTTGGTTGGAAGTGGAGTGGAGCTCACACAAACTTCGACTTACACAGTAGACATGCTGCCTACCAATCGGTTACTTTTCCAACCATTTAGATGGTCTCCCAGAAGAGATTAGGCATTAAAACCCAACAGGATGGCGAAACGACCTTTGCCGAGTTACTCGTTCATAGAACTCTAGCGCTTTCAACATTCGAAGATATTGAACTTTATTGACGAATAAATGGGGATTTTAGTATTTTGGCAACCCAAATCGCTATGTTTGAACAGAACCAATATGCGCTTGCTAAAATTAAGGATGCGAAATTGCGGAAGTTTTCGGCAAATAACCCAATAGGCGGCTGAACGTCCGAGCGTTGCGCCAATCCGAGCGATCGCTAGCGTCCGCAGTAGGCGTTGGGCGGTACTCGCCCAATCGAGCAATTTCGCTAGACGGCAATAACGCGACGCACCAGACGCTACGCAAGCTGCTCGAGTTCACGAACTCTGTCATGCGGCCACTACAGTGATTGCGTGCCCGTTGACTGTGATAAATATGCCCAGCCTTGAAAGGGGCCAGGGTGTGACTCCTCTCTTGCTTTCCACAAGGAGAACGGATCCCAGGATTACAGTATTCCTTACTGATGGAAACGCACCATGGCCACTTAATGCTCCCAAAAAAAAAAAAACGACTGTTCCAGCTGTTTGGTAGGATGTCCTGGACAGTTACATAAAAACTAAATTAGCGGTTCTACAAACTTTGCCTTCGACACAGGAAGGCGCTATAAATTGAACCCTCAAAACGGGCTAAACTCACTCTGTGATGCGTCCGGACGCGCCGCTTCACCATAGATGTATGGTGGACATTGAGCTTCAACGACACTGCCGGCTTCGGCCGTATCGAAACACTGCCAGCCATCCCATGTAGCTGGACAGGCTAAAAAATAGAACGTTGTTTGATCACTCAAAAAAGTGATTGAAACGGAATTCCGCTCCTACTAAAAAAGATTTCCGACCGCGCCGCTACCGTGCACGCAATGGGAAATGGCCACACCCCTTGAGGTTCGCTCCACATTCGTTCTACTTCACGAATTCAATGAATGCCAAATGTTGCGATTTGTTGTGTCATATTTGGTTCAACTTCAAACTACACTTTAGGAGTGTTGCAATGAACTATCGATCAATACGTATTCCTATCGCTGTTGTCGTTTGACACATTGACGACAGCGCGCGTTTTGGTTTTTTGGCCACGTGGGACATGAGCAGTTAGCGGGCGCGATCTCTGAGACGCGCAACCGCGTCTCACTGTCCAAAAGGTGCGTTTTTCGAACTCAACACTGAAAGTAGTGAAGCAAGAGTAGAGTGGTAGCTGGGAGGGGGATCGCCGGCGATACACAAACAGTCCGCGCCCTCTGAGTAAGATAGTGATGACATCAGCTCAAAATAAAGGGCCGTACCCAAGGGCAGTATTTGAATATAAATAATTGGAAAAAAGCCGCGCATGCGCCTAGAAAAAGGGATGATAAGGGTGAGACGCGCAAACGCGTCTCAATGTCCAACGAGGTGCGCAAAGTGAGACGCGTTACCGCGTCTCAATGTCGTCAATGTGTTAACAGCTTTGAGAAAAGAGAGAACAGTAAAATAAATTCAAAGCCGAGTAAGTGATCCATATGACTTTCTTAATCTAGATACCCTAGCAAATTTTGCCTTCACGTAATGCGTAATGCACGTAATGCATCTCACTTGGCGCCTGCTAATCAATTCCGACGTAAATTTGCAGAACTCATTAGCGTAGTGCACATAATCTTTCTTGCAACACATAAGTACAGAATGCATTAATTCCAGTATTAGGATAATGACATTGTTACGGGTTTTTGATTGCAGGCAGGCCATAGCTCTATTATTGTAAATACGTTTATTAATGAATAATAGGTAATCTATAAATAACAAACTTTTCTGTGGTCGTTGATTACTCGGGAGCAGAGTTCGTTGACAGCAATCCCGAGCCGCTGCACAACATTGGTGAGTGAGCTGAGCGAAATGGTCATACAGCGGTGGATCCAGCCGCAGCTCATTGAGAGGAGTGATCTGAGACCTGAAATGAATTAGAGCTTAAACTGAGGATTCTTCATATTATATCAAACTGCATTCAGGCCACAGACTACATTGAGGTCACAGCATGTCTTATGGACTCTTGAAATTGTAAGCAATTTTACCGGCGCAATAAGCGCGCGATATGGATTTAAGGGATGTTGGATAAATGACACCGTCAGACATCCAATAACGTCTCGAGGCAAGTGCCAGACTTCAGAATGCCGCTCGCGCCGCAGCGCAAGCGACACGCTTCCACCAAGGGTGTGATGCGCCAGTGAACGGCTCCCGCGTGTCACCTCGCCACTGGAGCGTGGTGCGCGCGTTACGGTGTAGGCCGATGTCAGACTTTGCGAATCGCGCGATTCGCTAGCGTCCGCGGTCGCGTTGCGGTACCAGCCAATTGAGTGATTCACTGGCCGCGACGCGACCGCAGACGCTAGCGAATCGCGCGATTCGCAAAGTCTGACATCGGCCTGACGCTTGCGGTAGCGATGCCTGCGAATCACTGGTCAGCCTCATAAAGCTAGGAAAGAGGTGTGGAATATGATGAAGAAGAAATTTCGGAAGAGCAAATCGATTGGCAGAAAATAGCAAGTAGGAGCAAAAAGAAGGAGATGAGTAGAAATACAGCACATTACAGAAATTTTCGGGTACCCGACAGGAGGCCCGTCGCGCGGCAACAAGGCAGAGTCAGCGGACGAGTCGCAGCGCGTACTGTAGTGATTTCGCGTCAAGTTGAATACCATTGTACGTCCTACATCGCACATCACACGCGCTGCGACTCGTCCGCTGACTCTGCCTTCTGCCGCGCGACGGGCTTCCTGTCGAGTACCCGAAATTTTCAGAGTGAGAAGTCAGATAGAGTGACGTAATGGAATATTTTTTCCGGCCTCATAGCATTTCCCGTTCAGTAAATCAATTCAACAGAATTAAATTGAAACCTTCAGGACAGAAAGAATACTAAAGTTAACAATAACACTAAGGAATGGACGAATTCTTGAAAAAAGAAAGTTGCTTACGCTTCCCTTTCTCCTCTGATGCTTAGTCCTAGAGCCGACCGTTTTCGCGAATCTAAAGCAATGTTACGGGCTCCCCTCTCCCCCTCCCTTCCGGAGCCATATCGGCTAGAAGAAATATTATAAATCAACTAGAAATATGCCGTTTTCCCGTGGCTGTCTTGTCGTAAATGCTTAGGCTTTATAACAAATATGGCAGCAGATCCATCACCTCATGTGCTATTGAATGTGACTACTGTAAGAACGGCTACCGTCGGGGTGAGGCCACAGGAAACAATAAATATGTCGAATAGGAAAACTAAAAGAAAAAGAATCTTAGCGGTTTCTGCAGTACATACTGTTCAAGGCTACCGTATACTAAAATCTTCCGCAGAATAAAAGTATTTTACGATTTCGCAGTTGCGTGTCAGGTGGAAGAAGAAGATTGACGCGTTTCTCAATTTTTCTGGGCGCGCCAAGTCTAGAAAATTTATCCGCCTTGCGCTTTGAATAGCATAGGGCTTGTACAGTCATTTAAAGACCGATTTTCATGAGGTGTCTTTATGCTACTGGCCTTTATGGTCCAGCTCAGTGACAGAATGGAAGGGGAGA